GGACTTGGATGTGTATTGATGTAGTCCGGGAGGGTGGTGGCTTATGGTTCTCAGCAGTTAAGAAATCACGAGCAGAATTACCCTACACATGACATGGAGTTGGCGGCCATTGTCTTTGCCTTGAAGGCTTGGCGCCACTATCTGTATGGTGAACAGCTTGAGGTGTTTTTGGATCATAAGAGTCTGAAGTATATCTTCACACAGCGGGATCTCAATATGAGGCAACGCAGGTGAATGGAGCACCTAGAGGACTATGACTGCACATTGTATTACCATCCTGGTAAGACAAATGTGGTGGCTGATGCACTCAGTCGGAAGTCACGGGGAGTGTTGGCTAGTGTGGATTCCAGGGAGTGGCAGATGCTTGAGACTGTAGGACAGTTCGGGCTACGATACATGGTTCAGGTTCAGGGTATTTTAGGGAGTTTGGTGGCTACGCCTTCCCTACTGAGTAGAGTGATAGAGTCCTAGGAACAGGACACAGAGTTATCATCCGTCAAGGACCGGGTACAGGCAGGTTCCAGTGACGAGGGCTGGACCATTCACTTGGATAGTAGTCTTCGGTTTAGTGGAAGACTTGTGGTTCCATAGTCGACGGAGTTAAGCGAGGATATTCTCAGAGAGTTTCATTGTTCCCGTTTTGCTATGCATCTAGACGGCATGAAGATGTACCATTATCTTTATTGCTAGTATTATTGGAGCAGGATGAAGAGAGACATTGGAGACTTCATCAGACGATGTCTCATGTGTCAGCAGGTCAAAGCTGAGCACCAGAGACCAATAGGATTACTCTATCCTTTGGAGGTAGTTGAGTGGAAGTGGGAGACTATCACGATGGATTTTGTGACTCATTTGCCACGGATATTGCGGGGACATGATGCGGTGTGGGTGATAGTGGATCGGCTTACGAAGTCAGCACACTTTTTGGCGGTGCGGATGACCTTCAGACTAGAGGAATTCTGCAGGTTGTACATACGGGAGATTATTTGGTTGCACGGGATGCCTCTATCTATAGTATTGGATCGGGATCCTAGGTTCATAACCCATTTTTGGGAGAGCTTCCAACGGGCTATGGGGACTCAGTTGATGATGAGTACGACATTTCATCCCCAGACGGACGGTCAGTTAGAGAGGACCATTCAGATATTAGAGGACATGTTACGGGCATGTGTCCTAGATCTCAAGGGTAGCTGGGAAGACCACTTACCCTTGGTAGAGTTCACCTATAACAACAGTTATTAGGCAAGCATTCAGATGACACCCTATGAGGCATTATATGGAAGGCCTTGTTGATCTCCGGTGTGTTGGATGGAGGTGAGAGAGAGACCCTCCACGAGTCCGAATTTAATTAGAGACACCTCATAGAAGGTGGGATTGATACGGAAGCGCCATCTTACGGCTCAGAGCCAGTAGAAGAGTTATGCCAACAGACGACGACGACCTTTGGAGTTTGAGGTGGGAGATCATGTATTCTTGAAGGTTGTCCCTAAGAGGGGAGTGGTCAGATTTGGGAAATAGGGAAAGCTGTCGATGAGGTTTATAGGGCCCTGCGAAGTACTCGAGAGGGTGGACACAGTGGCTTACAGATTGGCGTTACCGCCAAATTTATGGGGTGTTCACGTGGTGTTCCATGTCTCTATGCTCCAGAAGTATACTCTAGAGCCAACACATGTGGTGGATTGGGGTGAGTTGATTATTGATGCGGATGAGACCTTCGAAGAGGGACCGGTGCATATCATGGATAGCCGAGAGCAAATTTTGCGAGACAAGACCGTGAGGCTAGTAAAGGTGTTATGATAGCACCGAGGAATGGAGGAGGCGACATGGGAGCGTGAGGATACCATACGTACCAACTATCCGTTCCTGTTCGAGGATGGAGGTACAGTTTTATATATTTGAATATAATGTTATTGTTGCATATGCATGCGGTTAAGTGTGTATGAATTTCAAGGATGAAATTCGTTTAAGAGGGGAAGAATGTAAAATCCGGGTAAATTTAAACTATTTACAAAAAGGGACAAAACCGTCATTTACGCTACAGTACGGGTTAGAAACCTGAGATTTTCTAGAACTTGGATGACGAAACGGACCTTACAGTTGGATTCGTCTCGCAAAATCTAGTTACCCCGTCAATTTTTGCCGAAACCGAAATAGTCAAATTTTTTACATTTTTCGAGGCTGTCGAGTTTTGGGTGACCCAAAAAAAAAATTAAATTTTGATAAAAATTTTGAAAGTTGAAAAATAATTTAAAGCAAATTAAAATAAAAATATTTTGAACTTGAACCGGGACAAAATTTAATCGTTTTGGGGTGAAATTGGACTCGGAGGGAAATAGGATCGTGTGGCGCATTGTGGACCAAGTAAATTAGAGGGTATAAATAGAGGGAAAAATCTAATTTTCCCCCATTTTTGTGTTCAGCCGTTACCCTATAAGAGAGGAAGAGAGGAAGAGAGGGAAATAGAGAATAAACTTCATTTCTCTCTACGATTTACGACCTTGTGGTGCTGGAATCCACTCGGGGCAAGAACAAAAGTTGCTCTCCTCACCAAGGGCTACGCGGCTATACCAAAAAGTGCGAGTTTTATCGAAGATCAATGTACAAAATTTTTGGAAGTTGGGAATTTGGACGAGAAGCGGGTTCTTGAGACTTCTTACGATCGTTCCTTACACTTCAAGAGGTAGGATCCCCTCCTACCTTGGTTCATTTCTTACCTAGGATGTTATATGGTATAGATAAGGGCATGAAATTACATAGGTCACTTGACTAGGGGTGAGGAAATAAGGAAATGAGTATAGGAATGGTCTAGACCAATTTCTAACTAAATTTTGATATGTGGAAGTATTTATGTAAACCATTAAAAATTGGGTTTATGTGGGCATGCTATGTGTTTATAAGATGCCTTGTGATTTAAGTATGTTATTGACATGAGTTATGTATAACATGCTTGTTGTAAATTGTGGTTGAATATCAAATGTTAATATATGCTCTTTGATATATTGACTTGTGATGAAATTGGTGATTATGTACATAAGACATAAATTACCATGAGATATGTCAAGTATGTGGTTTAAGTTGCCCATATGACATTCATTACATGTGGGACATGACATTGATGTGAAATGGTTCATTACATTGCATTTGCATAGAGACATCGCATATTAAGGGTGTGTGTGCATGGTTGTCGTCTTCACCGCATTTGGTGTATGACGAGTGGACTTGGGAAAGTTGGATCGATGATTCGACTTAGTCACACGATTTTATGGAAAATTGGGTCGGGGTTAGAAAGAAGGGCTAGGATATCCCTCGGGTTAAAGGCCCGGTGATTGGATTCACACTCCATTGGTATAAGAGCCCATAAAGTGTGTCGGTGTACGTGGAACCGTTGGTGGTAGTCCATGAATTTCGTGTTTGGCTGGGTGTCGTTGGTGTAAGTCCATGAATACCCACCCCAAGAAAGACTCTAGTTTTGAAAATGTCATTTGATGTGTAACATAGATGACGGTTTAAATACACATTGGCACTGCATTGTGTTGTGGGAGTCGGTGAAGACTCGGGGTAAAGGGCATGAGTGAGTCTCATTTCATTTCATGGCATGACAATATAGATTCCAATATGGATTAATATTCTTGCATTGGAATAGATATTGGTTGTGTATTGTTGTATGTATAATTTCATATGCACTTAGGTGGGGAGTAGCCTTTGTAGAAAATACTCTACTAGGCTGGGCTCACCCTATACGGGAATACATTTCAGGTGCGAGGTTCATACCGGCGGAGGACTCGCATTCGGGGCCTCAACGTTGAAGAAAAAGCCGGGTTGTGGCTTTTGAAAAGAAGTTTTTGTAAAACTTTTGTTATATTTCAATTGACATGTAAATGTATGGAATGGGTTGTAATAGAACATGTATAGATCAAGTTTTATGTGATAAACATCTTTATACATGTGTGGGATAAATTTGGAAAGGTTTGGAATGGAATTGAGATGCACTACAGGTGAAACAAGGAAAAACTGGCCAGGCGTACCGGTATGGCGAGGACTAGAAGGTAAATTGTACTGGTACGCGTACCGGTACGACAAGGACCAGAAGGTAAACTGTATTGGTATGCGTACCGGTACGGCAAGGACCAGAAGGTAAAATCGTACCGGTACGATGTCAAACTAGAAGTGTGGGTAAAACCTCCCTTGGGTACGAAGGTAAGCCTACAAAAGAAAGCAAGGGGCCGAGGTCAGGGATGAAGATCATTGGCTGTGGTGACTAGGCCTAGTGGCAGCTAATCCAACTCTAATTGGTACAAACCTTTTCAATCGCTATGGCAAGGAAGCTTTAAAGCGAATATTCTTAATAAATAAAAACTACGAGATAACGTGAACCAGAGAAAGAAGAAGAAGGTACAGGACCCCTTAAATCATAGGGCATCAGCATAGAAAAAAAAAAAAGATGCACAAATCCCTAATCTAGGGGGTTCGCCCTGGATAGAAAGACTTCAGAAACTGATTTTACTGATGCCTATGATTTAAAAGGCTTTTTTTACACCAAGAAAGGGCAGTGCCTTGAGTGTAAGCCAGTAAGATTAGTAAAACAAATCGAAAATAAGCAATACGATCGATTGGCAATCTTATTCAATATGAGGAGAGATTGGCAAAGCTACAGGTTCCAAGAAATAGACGAAAAGCAGCTACCTTCTCTCTCAATATTGGACTTCGAAATAATACCGTTGAAGAAACCTCATCTCCAAAAAGAAGAGGAAAAGAACCAAAACGAAGGGAGAAGAACATACAACCTGTTCAAAAAAAAGAAAACCAACACTAAAGTCAAGTAAAGTAGAGACTAGGTTGAGCCCAGAAGAGAACGAAAGCATCACGTGGCAAAAGCAGCTATTAAACCAGGAACAGAACATTAACATAGTCAATGTCTGGAGAAGCGAGGACCCCAACCTAGGGGACTATGCGACCTGGTCCTTAGAGATGTCCTCGGACGAACTACAACACAATTCTTATTACGGGGCCAATATGTACGGCACGGGCGTGCCACTCATAATAAAGCTTGACGAGGATTCGCAACTCGAGATGTTATAGGGAGCTAAATCAATAGGAGCTGGAGCAGCAACAATTGCTTTAGCAGGAGCCGCCGTCGGCATTGGAAATGTATTCAGTTCTTTGATCCATTCCGTAGCGCGAAATCCATCATTGGCTAAACAATCATTCGGATACGCAATTTTGGGATTTGCTCTAACCGAAGCCCCAGGAAATTCAGATTGTTTGCCCCATAGATGGACACCTTCCTTGTACTGAAAGGTGAGAGAAGGTTGATCTTGATCTAGGTCTAGCCTAACAACCCTACCCCCGCCTATTTATTTATTTGTTACCGGCAATCGGCCTAGTTGTAGTTGTCATTTGGAAAGGAGTAGGCGGGTGGGGTAGGAAGAAGGTGAAGTAGTAGTAACGAGCCGGCAAGGGTCTAGGGAGAAGAGGAGTCCGGTTCATAGAGAACGGGTTCATTCTAAGACTAATGCCCCCTTCTCCGACCACGAAGAAGATTTTCGAAAGGAAAGGAAGGCTGTCAAGGTTGTTCTTCCATTAGTAGTGGGAGAACGATTACCGGTTGAAGCTGAATCAATTCTTCCAGACAACGGACCGAAGTCCTATCTCACCCGGCATTTCTTTCTATGATCGCATGTCGAAATCTCGCCAGCGGGCTGACTATTTGTCTGCTTTTTCATTATGCTTTCCTCTAGAGGGATGGATTCTTCGCCTTACCTACATGCAGGTGAAGGGAAAATGTCCAAAAGTTCGGTCTCATACTAAGCCCCTACCCCACCAATTGGATTTATATCCGGCTACTGAGCGTGCATTTGTCGAATTCGGCTTACTAGTTTTGGCTTCCAATCCAGTCCCAGATTGCTCCGAGACTATACCTTGTGACAAGCAAATTTCATGGATCATCCTCTTTTTGTATGAACCTTGATGGATGAAGGTAAATAGAGGGAAGGTCTTCTATCATCCAGAATGAAAAAACTGGATAATCAAATGCAATACCAGTGATTCCAGTTACTTCCTTCTTCCTCCGATCTTCCTAATAATAGTTGCTGTAGTTGAATGTAAAAATTCCAGTTCCATTCAAAATTTGATTTAGACTCAACCGCGCTAATCCGTTGTGAAGGTCACATCAGGGAAGTTTACTGCAGTCTATTCCTAGATGGACAGCATCATATATGTGGCGGAAGTTCAACAACCGAACTGAGGTCGCGTCGCGTCAAGTAGCTTTCGCGCAAGACCTTCGTCCCTTACCTTTATTGCCCGCCGGTCGCCTCATTCTATCAATTGCGAAAGGTCATCTTTTAGCAGGGGCTGTCGCACGGTCCTTCATCTTTCTTCTTTCGGCCTTGATCCTTGATGTCGGTATTCTTCGTAGATAGGTGGTCTTCTTAGTGTAGAGGAATTTTGAAGTCAAAGGTTGCCGAGAGGTAGGGGCGGGCGAGGAGCCCTAAAATAAGCGGCTACCCGAACTCTCTTTTCCCAAGATTAGAAGGAACTCGGCTGAGGCCTCGGGCTATATGTATGTGCATTCGTTCGGTTATTGAATGCCGACCCAAACTCCTTATGTGGGCAAAGAGCCTACCACTTATGCAAAGGAAATTGCATATGGATCCATCCTGATAAGTAGATCAGACTGACGGAAGGGGAGCACCCTTGTCTTACTGAAATCGGATTTGCCCTAATACTTAAGTCAGGTCTGCTTCTATCTTTCTTCTCTCTTTCCGAGCTTATTAGGAGCAGAATAGCTTCTTTACGGGTATGCCATTTATATTTTGACTTTTGACTTTAGATGAGCCAAAACGCATTGAGACAGCTTAACTAGAGGTGCCGGTGACCTGTATCGTCGGGTCCGACGGACGGTAAGGCCTTCGATCAGTCTTAGCTGATAGAATAGATCGAGAACGGCTTACAACATTTCATTTGAAGCGTGGCCCTGCTTAGATAAATAATTGGTTTCCGACTTGATGTTTATTTATGATCTTTGGTTGAATTGAATGTTGGCCGACCTTCGTACTTGACCGAAAGAAAAGGGACGCCTCACTTTTACTCCGCCTCAGCTTCCCCTGTATCCCTTACTAGCATCCAACACAGTCGAATCACTCTATCTTCGGTCGCGCCAAGTCTTACCAGAATCTGATTGGCCGAATACAGATGTGACAGCCGAAAAGCGAACTGATTGCTTTCTTAGCAGCTACTTGGCTAAACATTTCTAGAAGGGATCCCGCTCTCCGCGAGACTGCATTCGATTGGTATGCCAGGTTGCCTGCTGGAACCATAAACTCGTGGGCGGACTCACTCAAAAAGAGCGAAAGAAAGAGCAGAGAATGAGCGGACTATTCTCGTACTTATTTATTTCATTTTCGTGTTATCGCGCATAATAATAGGGCACTACTCCATCTAGTAGGTTAGGCAGGGAAACTCCATAACTGTATTTAATAATCAAAGTCAGACTTTAGTTCTTGCGTCTGCATAGTCTGATAGGCAAAGATAGCGTCTGACTACTAAGATGGAAATCCTACACAGAAAGTCGATGGGAAGACGAGTATAGCACTAAAGAGAAGAACCCTCGGATGAATGATAGAACCTAGCTTCTGCTGCGGCTGATGCCTTTGATATTAGGCCTGACCGCTGGTTGGAGAATGATTTTAGCTCATCTCACAGGAGAGCTCATATTCAAAGGGCGGACCTTAGCCCTATTAGTATTAGTATTAGTATTAGTATTAGTATTAGTGTTATGACTTTCTTAGGCGCCCTTCTGTTCCGTAGCCGACTTAGCCGATAGCTTAGTGCTGCCTGCATAAGAATGTATTATGGGTACGGAGCGCTATCCGGACCGATTCTTTCTCGAAGCGAGTGCAGTGCATCCTAAGTGAAGGTAGTGAGCCCTCGTTGTCCGGTGGTTTGGGGCCCCTTTTGGGGTTCCCTCCGTACAAGGATGGGCTGTCCCCGACTGAAGCGTGTTATAAGTATCGCCCGAGGTGCCAGGGGTAAAGCTTTGTCTTATATATAAGTAATTCGGTCTTCCTGGGTGCCTGAGGGGCTTTCTTTGTGAGTCCTTAAGATCTCCGAAGGGCATTCTAAGTCGCTGTCAAAGGAAAGGACTGGAAAGCCTTTGTCTCTCTTGCAGCTCCTCTTCCTGGGCTCCCTGCTCTATACTTTTTCATGTCCCACCACCTGACCTGACGAGCCTGAATCACATGCCTGAGAAGGACCCCTAGAACCCGTCTTTTCTTCATTTGGTGAAGGTGAGTGGCATGAGCCCGCAGCTCACCCTCTCGATTGAGATCTATTCCCCTCTTTGACTGGAAATGCTTCATAAATACTAGATTCAATAGGTTGATATGATCCCTTGTTTCGACCTCAACCTGAGATTGAGATTTGATAAGCAATGGACTGGAAGACAGAAAAAAGCAAACATTCCATTGATTGAGCACCCATTCCTGTGTTTGATGATGATCCAACCTGCTATCTCAATGCATGGGATTTCCTTGGGGATACAAAGATGAACATAGTCAGTAGTGAGACCTTAATGGCCTAGTACAACCAGACAGAAGCAGAATAATGGTCTTCCTCCCGGGATTGGTCATTCATGAGCCTTCCTTTCTTTACGAGATCAGGCCAAAAGAAAGAGTAGAGTAGCACTAGCTGAGCAAAGTTAGGTTGCACATTGAGAGGCTTCCCAGTCAACATGGAGCAGGACTCACTTCGATAGAGGATTCGGAGTTTATTCCAACAGCTGCCACACGTGAGATCCTGATCGTCTTCCTCCCAGTCTTCTTGCCTGCTGGGGGAAGGAAGGCGGGTGGTACGTGCGACTAGATGACACTTATGGTAGCAACAAAACTGAACTCACCAAAACAAGGGACAGCGCTCTGAAGGAAAGATGAATTAGCCGACTTTCATTGTTGATCATGTCTTCGCCAATCCCTCTTTTAGGGAGCTAGCCCCAGGGTTGGGGAAAGTATCCTCCCTTTAAAGAGCTACCAGTCAACTTAAGATATGAGGCATATTCCAATTAACAAAGTCACTCCCTGAGGGAGGAACGTAGATCATTACATCCTAAAGCCAGGAAGAGAGCACTCGGGGAGCTCATATTCATATTGGAAAGGAAAGGAGCTTGGACCAGTCCTGTCTTCAATGGAGGGAAGGGGAAGCAGCCTACCTTATCGAGCTAACAGCGCACTTAAGGGATCACCCTGCTTTCTGCCCTATTTGTTTGATCTAGAGGCACCTCAATTTCAGGCATAAAATCAAACAAATTAGCCTCTCCTTCTTCCTCAATAGCTGCCTTAGTTTAGTTGGTGTGCGACTATGAGCCTCTGGGCCTGTTCCTCGAGTGTGGGTATTCAGTTCCTTATGTTAAAGCTTGAGTAAGTGCTTTTGTAATTGCTTTAGTTTAAGGAGGTTTTTTCTTCTTTTCTTTCTTGTTCTCTTGAGCTGCATGTGTCCAATCTTCTGGTGATCCTTGAACTGGTGATCCTTGAACTGGTTTGCTCCCTTTTTCCTTTAGCAAATTGTCTTTCGTTGGCAACAGTTTATATTCAACTGTCCTCGAGGGGCTTTCGAGTGAGATATCTGCTGTAGGGTTGTTGTTGAGGTTTGGTTGTGTAGTCTCATCTGGATGATTAGGATCTATCTCTGAATGCATACTTGCATGTTCTTTGCTGAGAAGATCATACTTCTCCTGAAGCAAACTTCCTATTACCTCTTCTTTTTCCTTCATTTGATCCTGTAATCTGTGGATATCAAAATAGTAAATAACTGCTTCATAGCCCTTGATGTCAGTAATGACTTTTGGTTTGGTGTCTACCCATACATGATCCTCATCAAAGATGAGATCCCTTTTTGGGTTGTTGAGATTGATTCCTAGTTGATGCAGAGATTCCCTTTGTTCGACTTGAAGATCACTCAGATTCACGTTGAAGAGTGATTCAACGGTGACATCTTTCTTTAGAGAGGGATTAGCGTATAGTTGTTTAAACCATTCGAAGTCCACATAGTTTTTTGCAGCACCCTTTTGCTTCACAATCTCTACATTGTCTTTGGTCTTTAAACCATAACTTTTCGGAGCGACAAAGTACCCTTCCTGAACTATATGCTCCAGCTTGAGCTTGCCCAAGACGGTGGATGAGATCTCCTCTTCCGGCAGTGGACTCCCAAGGAAGGCAGAGTCAGTATCGGTGTAGTAGCAGTCCTCTCTTGAGATGTATTTGTACATATGGATCCGAGCATAGGCAGTAATAGCAGCAGAGAGCTGAACTGCCGAGATCCTAGGTGGATGCCATTCATAGTCAGGGGCATCGGGGTGGTTGCTCACGAAATGAACCATTAAGTAATCATCCGTCAGTGGATCCGCACTGTGAAAGCCACAACGATTGTACATTGACTCAATATTGTCTTTGTGATAGATCTCAGTTATTTTACTTTCTGGATTGATGCCAAATCGGCCATAGAGAGAGTTCATGAGTATCTTGTAGACATAAGACAACCCATCATGTGAGCTCTTCTTTGCCTCCAGTCTCTTCTCGTAGTGGTTATGGACAAAACCACCGAATGGAGACGCTTTCTCCTCAAAGAGGTATCCCTTGAGGGGTAGGATCTTGTACCCCAGATTGCGGGCATACTTGAGTTCTTCGCTAAAGTAGACACCTATGAATCTACCTGTTGGGAAGAGCAGTCTCTCATGCTCCTTATAGGGCAGGAATGGTTTCTTCATGGTTGGAGGGCAGACAACATAGGCCTCAATGAATCCATACAAGCTGTCCAAGTCCTGGTCTCGAAGATCCCTTTTCCAGACTGGGACACCCCCAGGCATCGGTTTAGATGCCATAATATGTGGATACAGGGAGTTCACGTCATAGTGATATAGATTTTCACCATATGGCTTATACGTATCAGCATGGCCACCATAGTAACCCCTCCGAATGAATTTATCCTCATTCTTGCCGGGTAGATGGATCGGGAAGGTATTTGGATCGTAATAACACGTTCGAAAGATCTTCATTGCAAGGGCTGAGACTGTCAAGCAGTCCTCGATATCAATCTGGTAATCAGTCCAGTTGATCTCTTGGGCCTTGTGCATAATCCCACCTAAGAGAAGGATGTCCTGTTTCAGGTATTCCATCAATTCGGAACCATACTGCTTCAAAGCAGGCACATCTACATCTTCATATTTGATTGGAATACTGCCCTTAGAACCCAATTCTGGGCACAAGGTCTTAGCTAAGGAGTTAAGAGAACCGGAGAGAAGGTTTATAGAATCCTTTAGACGGAAGACCACCTTCTTCCCACGAGAGACAACCAACTCGTAGAGCTTGTTATTCCTCATCAGTGGCTTGATGCTGTACGTTGACCTATGAACAAAATACTTCATTAAGATAATCCCATCGAATCGTCCTAAGTTGTGGAAGTAGACGGTTTGAACATTGTTTCGAGCTGCTACAACAGCTAAACGCTCTATAAAGTCAAAGAGCATCTTATTACTCTGATTTTCGAAATCATCAATTATTAGAGAGTAATCTTCTGTGAAGTACCTTTCCACTTTAGAAAGATGCTCGGAAGAGACTCCTTCACCAGGGTGAACCAGCAAGAAACCAGCAGCGTAAGGTACATGGATCTTATCTAAGAAGAGGGTCTCAGTATCGGCAACAATGAAGGACTTCCTTTCCTTTCTCTTCACTTGAAGAGATGTTAGAGATTTGGAACGCTTATGACTCCCACTTATGGCTTCAACAGCCAATTCTTCTTCACAACCAGAGATGAGACCCGCCTTCACCAATTCGATTACCTTCCTATCTAGCTCATCCGAGCTCAGAGTCAACTCTTTGTGCTGTACCTTGCTAAGGTAGACCCTAATAAATAGACCTGTTATCACTTCTTTTTCGTAATCCTCCCCTTTTTTGTTAATACTCTTACAGAGCTCCGTATATGTGTTCGAGTTAGGACACTCATATAAAGGGATAGCTGGTCCAATTGTAAAGGGAACTATACCTCTAGGGATCTTCATTCTGTAACCCACAGTAAACTTACCGCTGGAAAAGGTTGTGCTGCTGTAGACATACTTATGTAGTAGAAACATTACAATCATTGTGATCAGTTCGGTATCACCACATTTAAGGTAAGGCTTATTGAAGCTCACCTCAATGAATCTCAATCCAGCATAAAGATCTCTACAGCTCTCCTCAGAAATTCTCCTATGGCAGGCGGACATACTCGAAGACAAGACAGAATCCCTTTCAACAACTGAACAATAAGAAGCAGTAGATCCCACAGAAGGTATAAATTTCACTTTGTCTATCCATATTAACTGTGGGATATTCATAGGAATCCTAGTAGTGAAGACAATACTGATCTTTTAATTCATACCATTCTTTCATCTTAGCTTTAAAGGATCCGCAGCGCAATTCATGTTCTAGATCACCAATCGCTCTTATATATTGATCGTAACAACTCACTAGTTCATCTATATGATTATTCAATTTGATATCCTTTTTGGTTTCCTTTTGATTACATTTTTCTGGAAACAGCTGAGATCTTAAAAGATCTTCTAGTACACTACTAGGAATAGGGTCAGCTCTATTTATTGCGTGCGAGTCCCCATCTTTACTCAGATTGTCAAGAATGAATGAATTCATTATTTCAAGTGGATTATCCAAAGAAAGAAAAGCACCAATATATAATGATGGAATTATATCTGTCAAAACAGTTGTGGTAATGAAATTATCGTGGACTGTATAGATAGGAAGATTATTATTAATAATATTCAAATTCTCCACCACTTTCATAGCAATAAATGCATCCTTCTGATGAATAAAGTTCGCACAGGTTGAGACTTTAGTCTTCCGCTTATCCCTATCAGTAGTTGGAACTCTGAGAGTCACCCGATGTCTACTCTTGGTTTGAGTATTATATACAGAGATCACTACTTTATTGCTACGCATATAATCCTGCACAGTTGTGTAGTATTCAATACTATATTTGACTGGTTTATCTAAGTAAGAACAAAACCAACCTATTAGGTTAATCATTCTCATTAAATTCACAATTTCTGGATATTTATTTTTATAAAACTCATTGCAAACTTTTGCTAGAGTAAAGATATCGTCATTACTTAGTAATGAACCATAAACATCACGAATATCACTAACCATGGTTATTAGGGTCTTACCATATATCAATGGCATAAAGAGTTTCTTGACGAGCTTTCGCGAGAACCTAGATTCTATAATATAGGATTTCATTTTTTCAAACTCTATTCGCAAGATAGACTTAAGCTCAGTTAGCAAACTGAGATATAAATCTTGAATTTCACCATTCTCAGCAGGGATAAGATTAGTTAGCGAAGCCATTTCAAGGTTAAGTAAAAGATAACTCATGATTTGATAAGCACTTGCAGAGGCATCATGACTCACGGGGACTTTATTCAATATTAACTGTCTTTCCTCATCATCCTTCACTCTATCGCAAGATAGAACTTTAGATATGAACTGAAAAGGGTCACTAGCACCAGTGACAGTAAAATTAATGAGATCTTCGTCATTACGAATTAGAAGAGCATAGATACTATTATACCAAGAGAAAGCTTTATCATACGTGGCAAATTTCTTATACTTTAAGGCTGCTGCTGTTGCTAATCTATATCTTAGACCCATAAAATCATTCAAATTATCTATAGGATAGATATCCCCATC